TTGAGCCTGGATCATGAAGATTTATGTGGGCTTTTCTAGCTTTCAAAAACTGGTCTGTGTGGATATTAATGTGATAGGAGAAGGCTCGCCAAAGATATTCTTTGAATATCCCTGTATGCAATTGGATAGCAAATAAATAAAACAAGCAACTAACCCTCTGTGTGCAGTTGAATAGCAAATAATCAAACTAAAAAATATTCTTTGGGTTTCTCATTGTTTTTATTATTCTAAAAATATATACAAAAGTTAATTAAAATAAATATTAAATAAATTAAATATATTTTATATATTTTGAAATATTAAAAGACAAAAAAAGTAACTGTTACATTTGTAGTATGGTACTCGTAAACTAAGCTCAAGACATTAAATTTTTAACGTGGAAAACAAAACAACCACAAAACATCTGAATCTGCAAATGTAACTTTCACCATTGAAATGTATGTCAAGATTAATTACAAAGTTTCTCTCTAGGCAAGGCTAGAAACTCTCAACAACAATAAATCGTCAAAAATAAATTCTTGAATCACCATCATAGTAATTAGAAAGTCAATTCATTTTTGGAATGATCCCCAAAAGCAGCCACTAACCAGTAATTTTTTCCCCTGCTTGTCTTCATCTACCACCCTTTCAGTTCAATTATGCATCCATGAAGTGTTTTCTCAACACCGAAGTGATGGACAGATATGCAACAAACTGATCCTGAATGAAGGGGGAAAGAAAGTAAAATTGCAGTTCTAATTAGTCAAAATAAGTGCATTTATAATAACTTGAACTTAAGTTTTTAAAATTTGCCCAATAAAGGATTAATGATTTGAGCATAACGCTACCTTGAAGCAGTACTTTATCCATCCACCTTCATACATATCCTCAAATTGTACCTGATATGGCTAGAGAAATTGCCAGAAAAACTCCAAGAAAATCCATGTCCTACAAAAGTGAATTAAAGCTTAGCATTTTCTTGATGAAATGATTGAAAATCTCTCTGACAACAGTGGGGATGAGAAGGTGAAGCACAGTAGGGAAATTGAAGTGCCTTAAAAAGAGGGATGCACCACCTTTCAAGGGTAGAAGTTTGTTACTGCAACCATGATGGATCCCAAGTACACTACCATTTATTCATCGAGACATCTGATCTTGAAGCATACTCTGCAAATACATTCATTGTTAAGAAAACTGAATGAAAAAGGAATACAGTAGTTGTATCATTGCCATATTGTAAGAATAAATGGATTCAAGTACATTGCTTAAAAAATGTGAATGATAGAAATACTGGGAGTGAGATGAGTTCTAAAGATTTTCTATGGTCAGAAGCTCCACCTTATTGTAATTGAGATTTAGGGATGAAATAAGAGAGAAGATAACTAAAACTTGTTCATTGTTGATTTCTTACCAATTATAATAGGCCATCCCCCTTCATTTTGTTGCACTCTCCTGATATG